TCCGACCCCCACCCCCACTCCTAGCGGCGTGCCTCCCTTCCCCCGGATAGTACTTATCTCTTCCAAGACCTCCGATCCCAGGGAGGGGGGTGAGGATTGGAAGGGGAGGTAGTGAGAAGCTAAATCCGTGAAGACCCAGGAGTTTGTAAGGTGGCCTTTTTTTGGGGGGGGGTGTTTTTTCGGGGTTTTTCTAAGAATGCACGGTGTGGGAGGATGAGCAGTGGAAGAGTTACAAACTCGGACTACATCTAGGCTCTGCGCTCAGCTCGGTGTGGCCCTGTGCTCTGGGGAGCCAAGGCCCGTCCCTGCCGCCCCGCGGGTCTGTTTCCCAAGGACGGTGGGAAGGTGAGGGTGGGGTGGCACCTGGGCCTCAGAGTCAGGGCTGGGGGTCAGTGGAAAAGGGCGCCCTGGGAGTGGGGTGGTTGCAGAGACAGAGGCTGGAGAGTAGCGGACTCTCCCCCAGCGCGCGCGAGTTCGAGTCCAGCCAGGGCGTTGCCCCAGAAGCCCCGGGGCCTAAGCTGGGGCTGGGGCCGAAACCCAGCGCAAGGAGGGGAGGGGCGACGCCTCTGCGAGCAGCGGGAGGACTTTTTGTTCTGGCGACCAGAAGCCGCCGGTGGCCTTTACGCACAGGCGCGCGCCTCTCTAGGCGCGTTCGGGAACCTCCGGTGTTGGGAGTCCGGTCCAGGAGGAAAAGGCAGAAACCCGCGGCGGGGCCATTTACCGCCCCGCTGAACCCGCACAGGGCTTGGCAGGGGCGCGCTGCGGCGCCTAGGGACGCGAGTTTTAAGGATCAAACAGCATTGAACGCATCTTGATAGGAAGGCGCAGGCTCAGGAAACTAGGGGTTCCTCCAAATACTGCCAGTTGAAACCTCAGGACCCTCCGTTTCCAGGGAACGGAAAAAGGTGTCCTGCCTCTGGGGTCTCACCATGTACACCCCCTCTCCCCGGAGGTTTACTCTAAAAGCGATGTACCCGGCCTTGTAAGAGGCCCAGGCCGGCTCGGGCACTCTGGGTACTTCGCCAGCGAGACGCGCTAGGTACTCGGCCCACAGACATTGCCCGCCTCCCCAACTGGGAAGCTCTCCTGGTCTGTGCCAGAGTCCCCAGATCGGGAACGCAAATGGGCAGAAGCCGATCCCGGCCATGGACAGTGTCAGTTATGTGGGCCCTGTCTTGTGTGGGAACCTTGGGCGCCCCCCTCCTTCCCTTTGTCCAGCGGAGTTGCTGGCCCGCTGCCCTCCGAATGCGGCCCGGCTCGCGTGGCTGGTTCTCTCCGCTGAACAGGGAAAGTCTGCAGGACACAGGGCCAGGCTAATCGTTTTTAAATAATTAATGCCTCCCCGTTCCGCTGGTAATGCGCGGCCTCGAATTCGTCAATTACTTGTCATTAGACGTGTGTACTCCGTGGCCTTCCCTGGGTCCTTTGATGGCGCCAGGTCACCTACCCAGACGAGCTGCGGCCGAATGAAATGTGCGGGCCTTTGAGAGCCAGGTGGGAAGTAGCCGCGACCCTTCATTCGGGGCGAGTTTTGAAAGAAAGACCCTCGCTGAAAAGATGTCATCTTCCAAGTGGCCAATTTAAACGCTTAATCTTTGTCACCCGCCTACTGCCTTTTCCCCCAGCTTTAAAGAGAGAAGCCGGTCCTCAGTGTTTTGGGGGCCTTTTTAATGTGGGGGTGGGGAGAAGGGGAGAAAGAGATGAGGCTTAATAAGGCAGGGGTAGGACTGTTTGCTCAAGAAGGTACCTGAAGACACCTGAGGTAACTGGTTTTGTTTGGGATAGTGCGTCCCGCTAAGCACGGGGGCGGGGGGCGGCCGAGACAATATCTTCTGGAATGTGTAGGTCAGAACTGTCCGGGGAAAGCAGCAGGAGAGGATGTCGGAAAGGGAACCTTCGCTGAGCCCCCACCCATTCTTGGACCTGGCATTGCAGAATAGTCGGTGCTGGCTATTGCCCATAGACTTGTAGGCACACATAGAGTCCTGCCACACAGAAGAGAGTCCCCGCCCCCCACACACACGTTAGAGCCAC